GAGAAATAATAGTCAAGCTCAAGCGTTGGTGGCGCATATTGGTCATTGTGCTCAGCCCACTCATACTTCTTCCACTTCCTCTTATTGTCAGAACTATTGTAAGAATTGAACATGTATTGTCTAGTAGGCAGAATTGTAGGTATTGTTGTTGTTATTTTTTATAGCAAGCAAGATGTGCCTATATTGTACTGCTTCTCACCATCTATTGGGTGATTGAAGCAATGCCATATGCAGTAACTTCCTTATTTCCACTTGCATTCTTTCCTATGGCCGGTATTTTACCTGGAGACGTAATTTGCCTTAATTATTTCAAAGTGAGCGGCTCATTTTTGCATCGTTTATTTTAACATAAAATGTTATTTATCTGTGACTTTTAAGGATATTACGACATTGTTCATTGGTAGTATGATACTAGCTCATGCAATGGAACATGTTCATCTTCATCGACGATTAGCATTACTTGTACTTAGTATTGTTGGCTCATCGATCAAATGGTAAGTGGTTTATTGTTTTTCATACATAAACACAAGCTGTATGTTTTCGAACAGGAGTATGGCCGGATTAATGGGTGTCACTGCTTTCTTGAGTATGTGGATCAATAATTCAGCAGCTACCAGTATCATGATACCGGCAGCAATAGCCATTATTGATGAAGTTGAAAATTATGAAAAAAAAGTGCAGCAGAAGCAACAGCAGCAAGCACCAGAATCTGAACGACAACCGAAAGAAATTATACCAACAGTTACGGCAGGTACTGGACAATTTACATTTCAATCATCATTCAAATAATTATTCTATTTCATCTTTAGTCGTCCTTGATTTGAAGCCAATAATCGTCGAAGAACAGAGAGAGCAGTCATCTTTACAGCATAGTAAAGATATAAATTGCAACGAGCCGACGATTGAGTAAGTTTATTTGCTAACAGAAACTAATCGCTCTTACTCTTATTTGTAAGAATGCAGGGTCATATCAAGCCTGTTATCGTCACTTTCCAAGTCTAATCAATGCTTTTTTAGGAAAAGATGTTTTATCAAGAAATAAGTTCCGTTTAAATGCATAAATTAGTTGTTGCTGTTAGTACATAACAATTTGATTCACAAGAGAACCTCGCCAGGTGTAAAATAATTTTTCGTTGGAGAATATTGCTATCAGATTGATTGAATTGAGGAATGAAGAATACTATCTAGATTTTTTTTCTGTAGGACTTGTTTTCTAGCAAAACCTGATTTTTGAATTTCTACTTGAAATTCTACATATTATAAGACCTTGATTGAAATCTCTTGCAAAAACAGTTTCCTAATTTTTGAACAACGCGTTTTCAAGATATGGTTTTTTTCAAAGAACTAATGTTTTTCGATATACTCATTGCTTAATTCTACTATTGTAAAAACTTCACATCTCAAAAATATAATACGTAAAAGTTATGGAGAGTTTTTTAAACAAGCTTTTCTAATTCAGGCCTTCCGATGAGAGATGGATAACGTTGTCTATATGGTATCATTATGAGGACTAGATAATTTCACCCATTCTCTGATAGCAATCGAAATAGTCTAGAGTGCGTGAGTCCGATCAATTATAGCTAACATGTTATCATGAATTTGTAAATTTAGACCATCAAACAATCA